ATATGGAATCACGAGTCGTGGGGCCTTTTGTACACGAAAGCACCGGCAATCATATTCTATCTCCGTGATTTCATCTTCATTTGTCTATCCCCTCAGCCTCACCATTGCTATCACCATCATCGATAATTATTTAATAATTTCAAAATATAAATAATTGATATTTTATAATATTTTAATTAGTAAAAATAAATAAATAAATAAAATATTGTGTTAAGTAATTGAAGAACATAAACAGATATATTAAATAATAATTGAGTAAGAAATACAGGCACATATTATTCCAAGAATATTTAATAATTTCCCCACCATCATCATCTTCATGTGTTGTTCATCCACTTTCCCTTTGTTTATTTTTGTTTTTTTGAAACTTTTTTGGTGTTTCGTGAAAAATGAGTTGTTTTGAAGATGTTTATCGAAAACCATATTAAAAAATTGAAGCCCATTAACTAAGTTTCAAAGAAAATATAAAAATAAAATGCAAGTGGTGGAGCAAAAGAAAAGGATAAAAATGTTTCCTTGTAATCTACCTCCGCAAAAATAAAATAAAATTTTGCAATCTACTTTGGAGTGATTTTAGGATCAACATATTGGCAGCAGCATAAAAATAAATAAAAATAAATAAAAAAAGAGAACCAACAACAACAACAACCAAACAAACAAATAAACAAAAGCAAAAGAAAAATAAAAATAACAATAGTGATAAACGCAACCCAAACTATCTTACTATTCAAAAGCATATAGTAGTACCTGTTGATTCCATATCTGTTCAACTTAAAAGTTGAGGCTGTGAACAGAACAGAACATAACAGAAGCTTTTATGTTTCAAAATTCTAGTCCCTTGGAGTTTGAAGCAATTCCAGAGTGACGTATATAACTACAACAACACATGACTTTACAGTTCTCCTATGTATATAATTTCTCCACTGAAATGAGTTCTACTTCATTAAGAACTCTAGTAGTCCTATTGTACTGCAAGGCCTTCAACAAAATATATATCACAAAGTAGAGTAATACTAGGATCAAATACAACAACAATAAAAATAAAAATAGTAGGGTGGAGCTCTATCCATACTCCTTTTTAACTAAAATTTATTCTATTTTTTATTTTTATTAAGCAAAGTTATAATAAAACCCTTCATAGTAATTTTGATATTTGTGCATAAGTTACATACTAAGGAAAAAATATAAAATATTTTTAGAGAAAATTTCTAAATCTATATTGTTAATTATAACTACATAATTTCATCAAATTTGTCATTTAAAAAAATGACAAATACAATTTTAAATAAAAAATCATAATTGTCCTTTACAAAAAATAGGAGATGTACATTAGACGAGACAAACCCTTAAGACTACCCAATAAAATGCAAAAATTCTTATTAATTGAACTAACCCCACCTATTCCATCTTCCATCCAAGATGAAAAACTATACCATGGCTTACATATCATGTTTATTTTTGTGCAAAATCGTCTTCGAAAATTTTAAAATGATTTTTTGGTGTTTTCTGAAAACTTAGTTTGTTTAAAAGAAAATATTCCCAAAAAAAATTTTGGCAACAGTTTGCCAAACAATTGAAAACAAGAAACTGAAACCAAAAACTCAATCAGACAGACATAATGCTGGAGCTTATGTATCTCTCTAGTATAACCACCAGTAACTCCACAACTAACAGAGAACTGGCAAGTAAGCATACATTACTCTCTCCTACACAAAAAGTATCATTGGACAACCAATAAATTTATTGCTATTTTCAACTTTTGTTTATCCAAAAGTGATTTATTTTACAACAAAAGTAAATTTTGCAAATGATTAAATCTATAACTTGGAAGGAGGAGGTTTCTTTGAGCCTCGACCAGCTATGAATTCCTGCATTTTCTTAAACTGCTCCTTCGTCATTCCATTGTAATATTCATGAGCCCTCTCCTGAAAACACCAGCATAATTGTAAGAATTGTAAGTTGTGTCAATTAACAGCACAACCAATCATGATGAATATTGATAAGCTTTTGCAATAATGTGATTTCTTTTCTAAGTTTGACCATTTCTTTAACAATTCTACTATCAACGCAAAAACCTACTACAAAACCGGACACAAAATATAAATAGATGAATAAAATTTTTCAAAAATGGATCTTACTAACAAATTAAGCGTATTCTGTGTCCATTTATGTGTCTTCTGTGTCCAATTCCGTAATAGATTGTTGTGTTCATACGAGTATTCTTTCTTCAACAATTTAACTCCTATAACTATGCATCAATTTGGCAGTCCAGATTGAAAGACTAGTATGCACCAGAAGCAGATAAAAGATCCAAATTTCATATATTCAATATATGTTTCACATAGTGTCTGCTAAATATTGAACACAATACAAAGCCAACGCATCTGGAATATGTAAGCCATTTTTCTTTTTAATCTTGCATTGATCACATGATCAAGCAAAAGTACTGCATTATGTACAAGTGCTTCTAAAGCCCTACTTCAAAGATCACAAATTTGCGAGTGTGATAACCCTCTTGACTTTGGATTCACTGTGTTCAGACTCGTGTGTTGGTGTGACTGTGCAAGAGCCGTGGCCTATTTCTTTTTCTTCTATAGTAGCTGCCTTAGTTCTATAGTTCTCTTCCCTTCCATCGAAGGAGCTTTCTGTAGGTTATAATGCTGTTTACCAACAAATACGGATATCATAAAGCACATTATACATATGCAATTGGTTTACAGCATAGCCTGAAAAGGGGAAAGGTCGGAAAGGAAGCAGAAGGACCTCTAAAATATGGAGAATAAGTGTTAACTACTAAAGAGGTTCCAAAAATCATTAAATACAAATTGCATGATGTAAATCAATGAACTTAAGGAGATGATTAGAATCAAATCAATGCAACACTGCTACATGATCTAACTTATAGGTGATACTAGAACTTTAAACAAGATTTCATGTAGCTGAAAGAAAAAAAGCCACTTGAAAGAGAGAGATACCTTTTCTAGCGTGAGAGCGTGACCCAGGTCCAGCTTTAAGCCATCATTTATAACTGACTTGTACCTCAACACTAAGTCTTGATTATTTTTTATAATGGCCGTTGCAATTTCTCGGGCTTTCTTCAGCAATTCGCTTTCCTCAACAAGATGATTCACGAAACCCAACCTCTCAGCTTGTTCTGCAGTTAGGGGCATGGCTGCCAAAGACACTTCACGAGCTCTGTTGGGCCCTATAATCCGTGAAAGCTTCTGAGAAAGGCCCCATGAAGGAAATATCCCAAACCTGCAAAAAACAAGGTTACATGAATGAATCTTCATTAGATAGATAACAACTAAACACAAAAAAGTGTCCTTGACATTCAAAAGAGAGCAGTGACACACATGACTGAAAAGGTTTCTTCCCTGCGTAGAAGAATATGTAGAAAAATTCTACCATCCCACGGTTGTAGTTTCAACTTTCAACCATAAATTGAGCCATGGATCATCATACTCTAGATTTTTATTTATTAATGGTTTGCAGGTTTCACTCAAACCAACTCAACAAGCATCAATCTCAACAACTTGGGAGTAAGCTAAATTACATTGTCAAAAATTCAAATAAACAAAAAGTGCCAAATCACTTCGTCAAAATCTTAAACTCGAGTATGTTTTCCCTTCTCTAACCAATGTTTCTCCTTTTCTTATTGAAAGACCTTTCAAGAACAAAGCTATTTCTATTTTCTCATGTTATCAAAACCCAACCAAGAAATGTTCAACAGTAACTTAAGCCCACCCAAACATAGCCATTTTGTAGCAAGAATAAGTCTTTACAGAACCAAACACCAATATGAATGTATATGCTTTTTAGATGTGAATCCCTCAACAAATTTTATAAATTTTTCTTGTTCATCATGTGTATTATGTATCACTAGCAGCATTAAACAAAAGTAAAATTAATGATTTCAAAAGCAAAACTAATTGCTTTCGAACAACTCAAAACCAATTTGTATGCTTTCAAAAAAAAAATCATGCTTTTTATGAAAATTGGGGAAAAACAAGAACGGCGAGAGAGAGAGAAACCTAGCGTGAGTGTCCATGAACTTGGCACCCTTGGAAGCCACCAAAACATCGCAAGCGAGAGCGATCTCGAACCCGGCTGTGACAGCGAACCCGCCGATCGCCCCGATAATCGGTTTCCGACACCGCTCCATCTGGGCCACCGGGTCGGACTCCATGTCCTTCACGTCCCCCTTGAAGACGTCCTCGGCGGAAGTCAAGTCAACGCCGGAGCAGAAAGACCGGCCCGAACCCGACAGTATGATAACCAGAACCGAGTCGTCGGCGTCGAGGGACTTGAAAGCCTTAGCCAGATCCGTCATCATCGACTTCGTTAGCGAGTTCAGAGATTTGGGGCGGTTGATCGTCACGAGAGCGATCCCATCTGGTTGGCAGGTCACAAGTATTAGGTTTTCCGGTGACGATCGATCCATTTCTGTCTCTCACCACACATACGTGTATACGTATATTATGTGTGTGTGTATATATATGTCTGTATGTATTGGTTTGGGGGAGTGACATAGACCGGGGGGCGTGTTATTTGTGCTTGTGTTGGAGTGTGTGCTGCGGACCTCATCGGTGACAGCATGGTGGTCGGTAACTGGTTTAGCTTTATCTTCTTTAGAGATATTGCTAACGTGGCAGCTCTTTTGTGTTGCTTGGACGACCGTCCATTCGTAGGGACTGTTTGGTGTAATTTACGGCACACACCTTTAACATGTGTGGATTATACTCACTTTCCGGTGTTTTGAAAAGTTGGTAACAAATTAATTTTAAAATTTTTTTGCTGATTTTTTTGGTCAAAAAATTTAATTTTTTTTACAACAATAATTCATCCCACTAAAAACATCACCACTAATAGCACTAATGTATTAAAAAAGTAAAAAAAAAAAAAAAAACACACACAACTCCAAGACCAAAACATCACATCATTAATGGCAAGACCCACTGCCACCTAATTAGTGGGAGCACTGATTAGTGCTCCAAAGCATTTTTCTTTTTTTTATGTAAAAAAAGTTTTTTTTTTTTTAGAGAGAATAAGCAATTACACAGAAGAAGACGCCTCAGACATCACCAACGCCATTAAAGAGGACGGAACCTCCTCCATCCAAATGCGTGGCGACTCAAAATCAAAGGCTAGCCTACTTAAACAATGGGCTACCGAATTGCCATCTCGACAGACATGCGAAACTTCTGAAGAAAGGAACCTCAACAGGAGCGCTTGAGCCACATCTACAAAATGACCATAGCAAGATAAGTTATCCGCCTTACCTTAGGCCAAGTTTGGGAAGACTAAATAAGTGCACTTTTTGTCTTTTTAGACTAAAAAGTTGAGGTTGAAAATATGAATGTTTGGGTTAACTTTTTGACTTTTTATGGAAAAATGTGTAATAAAAAATTGTAAAAATTGATTTGTAGGAGAAAATTAGAATTGGGAGTTGTGCAGCCGTAATTGTTGACTTTTGGTGAATAGTGATAACTTTTTAACTTTTTGAGTAACTTTTTGACTTTTTAACTTTTTGGGTGTTCCCAAACTTGGCCTTAGTTTTTGTTTCAGATGCAGCTTTATTAAGGGTTTGTTTGCTCATGTCCAAATCTGAATTAATGGGTACTATTCTCCCATGGGCCCAATATAGGTTTATTTGATAATTTAAACTGTTTTTTTTATTTGATCATTAATATAAAAAAAAAAAGAAGTTAAATCGATTCAATATTTGTAACTATTTCATTTTATCGAGTTTGTCTTCAAAAAAGTTAACGATGAATATGTTTTTTAAAAAAAAAAATCATCTTTTCTTTATACAAATCTAATAGAATAAATGGATTGTAAATATCAGATTGATTTTATTTTTATTTTTTTTATAAATAATATGTGTGCAAAACTTAATAAAATAAACGATTCAAATCATCAAAACAGAACTCATAATAGACTCCATTGGCCAAATATACTCTTTGATCTAGATGATGGATTGGACACAAGGTTAACGCGCCAACCCTTTATTTATCTAGCCCAACCCTTTATTTATCAAGGTCCATTTATTGGTTTTATTTACATTCTCAATTTTATTAGATGCACACTATTTATTTTATTTTTAATAAATAAAATTACAGTAAAACTCTTTACATTTTCAATTCCAGTGATTTGAGTTCTTCAACTTTGAGAAAGGAAATAAGGAAATTAACAAAAGTTTCCATCCCCAAGCATACACTCCGCGCGAGTCATATATATCAAACTTTATTCCATCTAATAAACAAGAAATAGCAGCAACAGAGCCAAATTTTGGGACCTGGTTAAAATGTTATATTTCCTTCTCCCTCTTTTTATTTTTATTTTTATTTTACGTAATTAATATAAAGAAATTTCCAAAGTGGAGGATAATCCCAACAAATACATGGGAAAATAAAATCTACATGCAAGTGGAGAGATATGAGCCATTATCCTCTTAATAAGTTAAGCCAAACGGACTATCCCTGTTGATTTCAAATTATTGTCATAAATGTTGTATTTGAACTTGTCATCTATAATCAAGAAATAGAAAAAAAATGCAGCTTCCGTTTTGAAATTTCACTTGAATCGTCTTCTGAAGCCTTCTCATTTTAGTCAGCAATTCAAGATTCAAGTAGACGTCGAATGTTCATTGGCCAAATATCATCAGAGCCACCGTCTGTAAGACGCTTCGCTATGATTGCATTAGCAGCATCAGTTGGATGGTAAGGGTCCCAGAAAACATATTTGGATCTGTCTGGACAAACTTTCGCTGAAGGACCACAAGGAATCAGACCTCCAAAGCGCCCAGAGATGGCACAGCATGCAGAATTTGCATTCTCAAAACCTGCAACGCAAATGCAATGACCTATATCTGAGCACAGATCAAGCAAAATTCAAACAAAACTGAAATAAATGCAGATTCAGAGTCTTAACACACCATATGATATGTGATTTTTAATGATATCTTCAAAAAGGCGGTAAACATTTGCGTACAGAAATTTTGATTCCTTGAGATTTGCACTGAGCTCTGCTAAAAGGTCCTTCAACTGGGCATTGAACAACTGGGCTAGCTGATTTGGAAAAGCAACACAGCTCTCTCCCGCAGAAGGATTAATATCTCTTTGATACGGAATACACCCAATAGGCCCTACATTTGCCACAACGATGTTTCTGGCTCCCATGTTGTAGAGTCTCTGAGGAATGTTTTAGGATTGTTAAAAGAAAGTTAAAGAAACCGAACATGTTTGATTGTGTTCTGTTAGAAAGTAATATGTAGTTAGTTTGCAAGGACATTCTACCGTAAGTTGTAACCTAAATCTTGAGATTAATGTGTCCACGAATGTTTCTGGAGGCACCAACTTCTGCTCAAGAGCTGAGACAACAGGTGTTAGGTAGTTGTTGATGAAATCATTTGCGCCAATTGTTATTGAGAAGAGAGCCTTTTCAAACATTTTCAATGCTGCAGGAGCACCTATGTTTGAGATTATGTCTTGCCTGGTATTTGCAAAGTTATCCATCTGCGCATCCAAGTTGATTCTACCAACCTATGGAGTCAATAAATATTGCTTGTCAGATTAATTTGCATATAATTTTTCAAATTCGTATAAAATGTTACCATTTATATTCAAATGCATCTAATTTTACAAGGGATTAACTTGTTAATGGCGGGGCCGTGAAACACCTGTTTTACGGATAGCAAATGGTATGACGACACCTAATGAGTTTTTAGAAAACAAAGGAAACATATCAACCCTTTCCTGTACACCCCCCACATATAACACGAACCCACCCTACCAGTTTGCTCCCCCTTTTCTCACCTAGCCCCCACCATCAGCGGCCCAACAACACCACCCTCTTCCAATTCCACCACAAATTTAAGCACTAGCAGACTCATTCCGACATTAAATAAGAAATCTGGATTCAGGAATAGTGCTTTCTCTTCCCTGTGATCCACAGCCACTTGAAAAAAAGGGCAACTAAGGCAAAGTTTGGGAAGACTAAATAAGTGTACTTTTTGACTTTTTATGAAATATGGGTTGGATTTGGATTGGGTTTGAAGTAATGTGTTAGAGAAATGATGTGACTTAAATAAGATGATATGACTTAAATAAGATAGTGACTTTTTAACTTTTTAAATTTTTTTGAGAATGCCAAACTTGGCCTAACTGTGGATATTCAATGCAGCCAGCTTATACGTATTCCGTTAATAAATTGTACATGGTGTCTTGATTGATAGACTTAATGTATCAGTTGTGTTGGGTATTGAGAGGATCCAATCTTGATATATGTAGGATCTTGACATGATGTTTATCAGATCTCTTCAAAAGGATCTGCGTCCTTAAGTTTTCCTCTTCATCGTCGGAAATTCCTCACTATAAAAGGTCACACCCATACCAAACCCTCCCAACTTCCTTACCCAAAAAACAAAAAACAAAATACAAAACACCCAACCCAACTTTGGCTCAGCACCACCATCGTAGCACCAAAGTCGACTCTGCAACATTCTATTATTTGATTCCAACAAAAACTCATCATCAATAAACGCTGAAAATAAAAGACCCATGACAAAACAAGCACCAAACCATTTCCTCAGCTATTAACCAATGAGAGTTTTGTGCAAAAACACCTAATTTGCATGTCGTAAATGTCCAAATTCCCTGTTTCAACCATGAACTAGTTATTTGTAATGGTTTGTGTGGGTTTGTGTGTGAGGTTATGTATGGGTGGGTTTGGTGTGGGTGTGACGTTTTGCGGTGAGGAATTTCGGACTGTGAGGACAGAGATATCAACATCGAAGAGGAGGGATGAGTCGCCGCATCGGAACGGAAGTGCTAGGAGGAGCAAACTGGTAGGGTGGGTTTGTGTTGTATTTGTGGGGGTGTACGGGAAAGGGCTAATATATTTTCTTTGTTTTATAAAAATTCACTAGGTCTCATCATACCACTCGCTATCCGTAAAAAAAGTGTTTCACAGCTCCGCCGTTAATAAGTTAATCCCATTTTACAAAATACAACTAAGAAGGATACATTGAATAAGACAAAGGCAAGAGTTCCTACTGATTGTGGAACATAATAAAATGCACAGTAATTTTCAAAGTTATAAACTCTGGGACCTAATTCCACAAGTGATTCATAAACATATCAAATGTGTTTACACATAAATAGAAACATTATGATACAAAAAGCCCTTGATAGAATAGAATGGTGATAAATGATTCATATAGCCAACCCACTTGATTGGGTTAGGACACAAAGCTTAGTTTGGTATGACACAAAAAGCAACCAAATTGAACATTTTATTTCACCTTCTTTCAACCAACCGTAAATCAAAAATAAAAAAATTTAGCAAATAGAAAAGAAACCTCACAAAGATCTTTCCAGTGTGATTTAGAATTCCACCTCCACCAGAAGCATAATTGACACCCTGCAGAACCACAGGTCCCGTGGTCGTTGGAGCCAAGTACGGAGGAGTAAAATCTTTCAAACCTATTTCTTGTCCTGGTTAGAAGAAAAAATAAGAAAAAACAGAAGTTAAGATAAAAGTATTCACATCACTTAAATTGTCCCAAAAAAGAATTAATAAGCAACGACTCTGTGGAATGTCAATAGCGAAAGTAACAATGAGTGAAAACTTGCCTATAATGTCAACTATAGTTCTTCCATTTGTGTATCGTCCTGTTGGCTTTCCGAAATCAATTCCAAAAGGAGCGTAATCAGCTTTGGAGAGAGAGACAATGTAGTCATTGTTACCCACCTCAACCAAAGAATCTCCAAATACAAAATTAGCAGGAACATCTTCCCCCAAGCAAATCCCGGAAAAGACCAAGATGATCAAAATTCGAAATGTGATCCCAACAATTGGCCTACCCAAAAGAACACCCATTTCAGAGAACATAAATAAGAGTAATACAACAGCCTGACTTGATCTATGAACAGAGATTCTAAAATGGAAAATTGATTTATTTTCCTTTCTTCTATCCTATCTACAAGTGAAGAATGTCAACTGAACAGAACACCAATGAATCTGACCAAATACAAGATTAAAAACACTTGTCCCTAGTACTTTTCAACTTGTTTCTGAATCAGTTAGAACATATATCAGACACATGGGCTGCAAGTCTAAAAAGTAGACAAAAACTGTCCAGATAAAGCTTTATGAGCCATTTACGCTCACGGGGACCTCAAATTACACAGTGGTTCTATACAAGACAAATCAGAAACCCAAAAAAAGACAAAGACCATCCACTGTTTTTGATGGAAAAAATGAAAACCCAGAAGCAAAGTTTGAGTTGAAAGTGAAAAGCATACCATTTTATAGATCAGCTCGTGTGAGAAACTCAGTGAGTACATTAAATGCACTGCAAAATCAACAATAACCCATGAGAAAATATACCTTTTTCGAAGCGGTAATACTAGGGGATTTGGTCATGCTATCTAATTTCTCTTTAAAAATGACAAGAATTATATAAGTATTTTCAAAATCTCTTGATATTTTAAAACTTGTTTCTTTTACTATATTACCTTCATATCTATCAACTCTGTTATTAAGATATTTTCACTATGTATTTCAGAGTAAAATTTTACTCTGTATAAAAGTAAAATTTTACTATGAATGCGAGTAAAATTTTACACTCTGAAACTAAAACTAAAATTTTACTCTGTATAAAAGTAAAATTTTACTCTGAAAAATAATTAAACTGTAAGACTCTGAAGCTAAAATTAAAATTTTACTCTGTATGAAAATAAAATTTTACTCTGTATAAAAGTAAAATTTGACTATGAATGATAGTAAAATTTTACACTCTGAAACTAAAAGTAAAATTTTACTCTGTATAAAAGTAAAATTTTACTCTGAAAAATAAGTAAATTGTAAGACTCTAAACTAAAAGTAAAATTTTACTCTGTATGAAAGTAAAATTCTACTCTGAATGAGAGTAAAATTTTATACTCTGAAACTAAAAGTAAAATTTTACTCTGTATAAAAGTAAAATTTTACTCTGAAAAATAAGTAAACTGTACGACTCTGAAGTTAAAAGTAAAATTTTACTCTGTATAAAAGTAAAATTTTACTCTGGTTCTGTCAAATGAAAAAAACAGAGCAATAGAACCAGAGTAAAATTTTACTCTGGTTCTATCAAATGAAATTTGATGTTTACTCTGAAAAACCGATGGAACTTTGAGTTTTGAGCTTTGAATCAGGCCTGTAATCCTTGAATCAATCGATGTTTACTTTGAAAAACATTAAATCGTGCCTATAATCCTTGAATCAGGCCTATAATTTAAAAATTTTAGAGAAATCTCAATTTTTCATACCCCGATTCTTCAGATTTTTCAGATTTTTAAAACTTTGAGCTTTCAAAAATCTATATATTCGAATTCAAATATCAAAACACACAAACACACACATATATAGATATATATATATATATATATATTACAGATCGGAATATATAGATATATATATGTAGATATATATATATATTCAAATTCAAATCTCAAAACACATATATATTGGAATTCAAATCTCAAAACACACAAACACACACACACACACACACACACATATATATATATATATATATATATATATGTATCAGCGCGATTTGCAAGTTCTCCACAGCTCCGGCCATGGAGGAAGCTAGGATTAGAAGAGAGAGACGAGATAGAAGATGAACAGTTGAAGGAGAGTTGAAGGAGGAGAGTTGAGAAGATGCAGAGAGAGATCGTCGGAGCTTAGGAATGACACAGCTCCGGCCATGGAGGAAACCAGGGTTAGAAGTGAGAGACGAGAGAGAAGATAAATTTTGTATCTGGATTGTGTATATGTGAGAGTATAATAGTCTGATAAAATATTTAAATAATAAATTTTGTTCTTTATGCAAGATTTTATAATTATGAAGGGGTTTAGAAAGTATAATTTTTTTCTTAATCCTTCTAACAATGAAAGGAAGGTAAAGGGGGTTTATAGTCAAATTTCCCGTAATACTACAAGCATCAATTGATACTAATTAGCGTAATAACATATGTTATGACATTCAGTTTAAAATTATGATCTCCTTGTACAAATTGTAAAAATTCAAAACCTTTAAAATACTAGTTAGCATAGATCATGAGATAAACCCACAAAGATGGAAAGCCATTGATTCAACCATCCCCGAGCTTTGTGGAATTGTTTGTAAACTCAGTGAGGAGGAGTGTGGATTTGCTGAAAAAGCAAAGATTTGTGGAAAGAATTAAATGTTTCATCTGCCAACGAACCTAACGAAGTAACGAAGATTAATGTGGTAATTCAATGCAATCACGTGAAATGGTAACATAACATTTATGATCCTGAGTGAAATATGTGGCCGTACAGTAGTGTATACGGACATGCAGGGAAGTAAACCAACCAGAAACTATGGCCTTGCTTGGCTAGGGCTATTTTTTGTTTTGTTTTTGTTTTTGTTTTTGTTTTTGGGTTAAAATTTAAAAAATAAAATAAGTTAAAATGATTATTAAAATAAAATATCGCATCAAATTTATAATTATTTTATTTTTTCTCATACAAACATCACATCTAATTATAAAAAAATCTCACCATCTTCTTAAATACAAAAAAATTTAATCTATTAAAATATCAAAAACTAAAATACTAATATTTATGGGCATATAACTCTATGGGCATTTCGCATGCCACTTTTCAATCATTTTTTTTTTTTTTTTTTTTTTTTTTTTTTTTTTTTGGTTAGCTATAGAATAAAAATGAAAAAAAAAAAATTAAGAATATAAAAACTTATTACAAACTCAACATTTTTATGTGAGGTGACCTATAGGATATGATGATGATTGTGTCTGATTAATTTTTGTCATTTTAAAATAATTGAATAAAGATGAACTAAATGATGCTGTGACTTATTTAGCTGTCGTCGTCAAATAAATTTGAAAAACTATCATTGATTTGGTGGTTTGATGTTTGGTTGTGGCCTATTGCATCTCTAATAAATTTGTTTTTTTGAAAAATATTTCAGATCACTAATTGATCACTAATGATGTGACATTATGTAGACTTTATTATTGATATAATAGTTTGGCTTTTGTTTTTTTTTTTTCTTCCGGTGCTATCAGTTCAAATTAGTGTATTCAATCACGGTTTAGATTGATATAAAAAGTTTTAAAAAATGATTTTTTTTTTTTTATTTAAAAGAAGCAGAACAAAGTTAATAATAGAAGAATCACCTGCCAATGCTAAGCTTAAAAATAATAATAATAATAAATTAAATTAAATTTACTGACACTAACGTGTCTTAAAAGTTTGAAGGATGTTTTTTTTTTCACATGTGATGGGCTCAGGCAATCGTTGGTCGATTCTGATTGATCATAAAAAATATATTGGGTTCGTTTGGTTTGAATTTCGGAAAAATTTTTAGGAAATTTTCTTTACAAATAAGTTTTTAAAAGTAATGAAACCAAACAAATTTTTCCAAAAAAATTTCTCAAAACTTGCAAACCAAACAAGTTTTTCAAACAAATCTCTCTCTCACACACATCAAATCAATCACTTTTTCCAAAACTCTCTCTCAAAATAATTTTTCAAAACATCTTTTGAAAAAAACCAAACTTAACAACTTTTCGTACTTTTTATCTCTAAAATACATCTCTCAAACACAAACCAAACATACCCATTATATCAATAATAGAGGGAAATTATTAAATATTTTTGAAGTACCATGTATTTATATTTTTTAATTAATTATAATTCAATATATTCATTTATATTCTTTAATCACCTAATACAATATCAAAAATATTAGAGGCCTTAAAAATTCTACCAAAAATTTTACCAAATGTCTCATATGGGTGTGGGACTCACATGGGACCCACATTGTGTAGGTTCCACACCCATGTGAGACATTTGGTAAAACTTTTGATAGAACATTTGAGATCTCTAGTATTACTCAATACAATACCTTACCTATTTATTTTTTTCATCAATTATAATACTATAAAATATTATATACCTATATTTCAAAATTATCGAATAATTATCCATAGGGTCTGAGACACTAAAATTATTACACGGACTATCAATCAAAAAAGTAATTTACACGGACTACATGATATGTTTTCAAGATGGGTTCATTTGTTTCTTTTTAAAATAAATAAAAATGTGCTGCCACCACATTCATTGTGTTACAACATACATTTATAATCAAAGAGTAATGCTACGTATCATGAAGTAAATATCATGAAAAACTTCATGAAACTAATCTAATGGTAAATGCATAACATACAATAAAACACTACAAATACTATAATCTAATCAATGGTGGAGAATCTTCATGAAGACTTTTCATGACATTATTTTCATGATACCTAGCATTATTGATAACGAAAACACCACCTGTGTTGTGTATGTGTGGCTGAGATTGGGATATCAAAAGCCGCAAAATAATTATTCTGTTTGGTTTTAATTTTTTGTATTTAATTTTTAAAAATTTGAATTTTTTATTTTTCATATTTTTTTGTTTTTAATAAATACTTTTAAAATTTTAAATAATTTTTTTTAAAACTTTTTTAGACATATCTAAAAAGTAAAATATTTATAAAAATAATAATAAATATACAAGAATACAAAATATATATTGAATTCTCATATTTTTTTATATTTTTAGTACTTAGTGAATTTTGTAAAAAAAATTTTTACAAATATTATACTTTTTAAGTATATTTATGTTCGGCGTATTTAAAAATTAAAAAAATTACTTAAAATATTAAAAAAATCTAAAAAAATAAAAAAAAAATTAATTTTTTAAAAAGTAAATTCTGAAAAAACTAACCAAAAAGTTGAATGGTGCTCTAATAATAAATGGATGGAGGTATGGCAGTGTGGTGATGAGCTGTTTTCCCCTTTTTCTGTTGAGCTAGGCAAGAACATGGTGGGGCCCATGTTAAGCCCAAATGAACAAAAGCCGAATGTGGTTCTATGCCTCATCTTGGCCCAAATTTAGGCCTTAAATGGATGTGGACTCCAAAACCACATCCACCAGCCCAGATCTAATGGTACACTTCTTTTTTTTTAAATAAATAATTTGACTATATTTTCTTTTTTTATTCAGTATCCTCTGTCATGGATCTATTTACAATACTCTTATTGTAGTAATCTAAGTAAAACTATATTATTTTAAATTGTGTGGTAAATTCTTATGTGATAGACATGTATTTAGAATGAATTTAAATCACATATTATTTTTTAAAATTATTTTTCTTGGTAAATTTTTTGGAGAAATAACTTGTTAGTGAGAGTCAGAAAAAAATATATATATATATGATAAATATTATAAATATTAATAATTAAAATCATAATTTTTTTATTAATGTATAATAATTTTTAAAAATTACCACTTATTGGTAATTTCCCCGTTTGTTGAATCCCTCTGTGCAGGGCACATCATGTTTTTTTCTCATTGTGAAAATCGGGATCCTAAGTAGGATCGGTGAGAGGGTCTGGTGGATCGAATCGTAGGATTGGATCGAGGATCGTAAGATCCTACTTTCTATTAAAAAAAAAAAGATAAAAATTGAAATTAAAATGATACATATTAAAAAAAAGATGAAAAATCATAAAATTTACGATCCTATTTGCGATCCTACCTACGATCCTATACGATCCCATGCGATCCTACACGATCCCATAAGATCCTACACGATCCTACTTGCAATCCTATTGTAACATCGATCCTACAACGATCTGGATCGTTTTGACAAAGTAGGATCGTAGGATCGTACGATCCTACGATCCGGATCGCGATTTTAACAACCATGGTAGTGACTAAGGATTCTTTATCCAATCCCTGTCCTGTCCCAACATGTGTCAAGATTTCAAATTTGGAGATTTTTACTATACCATGCAAGTGAGAGTTCATTAAGGACAGTGATTTTGAAAACAAAAAAAAATCATGAAAAGTTATTATTCAATATTCTAATTTCTCATATTATCAACTCAATCAGTTGAGATAGTGTTCTCAAATTAATAAGTAATCATATAAGTGGAGCAGATCTAGATTGCTTAGGTGGGATACAAAATGGTTCCCATTAATCATTTTTTATATAGTTTCATATTGGCAAAAATATCACGTGCACTTATCACAAATACTCAATACGTGAGATGAATATTACTAAAACCATTCATATATTATAGCACCTTAAATACTCATAGCCATACTATCAACACCACTCAGTTCATTGCACTGCACTACAAATCCTTCTAATAACACCTTGATCACCAGTAAGAACACCAGAAGATGACAGCTTCACAAACGCAGAAGAGAAAGCCTGAAAGAAACCACCCTGATCATCCGCGAAACGCTGCACAAACGGAACAGTTCGAGGGTCCGAAAGCAAGTCACTATCAATACTGAGTATGCCACGGCGTTTCATGACATTGATGTAGTATTGGTTGTCAAATATACATGCGGTTGGGTCATTTATTACAAAGCTAATGTTTGCAGTTGAAGACCGTAATCGACAGATCAGTCTCAGCATCTTCTTTAGCTCTGTGTCCATTGTATTGTAATTAGCGTCTGAGCTGTTGTATAGACGATCCAGAATGTTTTTGCAATGTGTGATTCCTAGTGTATGAGCACCTGCAAAAGGGTTTACAAGGTGCAAGAAACCATGTCAAATTATACAACAATGCCGAGGACTGAGCAAAAATGTTCAAAAAAGTTTAAAATTTGAAATATGTACATCAGATTCATTATAAATTTAATCTACGACACACAATGTTTAAATTTATACCATACATTTAAATTTTAAAACTTTTTGGGGTTTCCTTCTTTGTTTTGCTACATATCATTTCTTTTTTTTTTTTGGTTACATCGGAAAATGCTACATATCATTTCTACATACCATTATATATATGTACTTATGTTGATGATGTGCATCTGGAAGCCAATTTTCTAGTGCACTCCTTTTATATGTGTTCTAATTAGAATAAATTATAATTTAGTGTAAGTTCAAATATATATATATATATATATATTAGTCTTAAATTTTACAAACTATATAATAGTTGAATTAGGACTATTTATTCTAGATATGAATCTTACTATACAAAATTAAACATGTACTATATTTATATTTTTTTCTAAATAGATTTTAATATGCATTTAAAAAAAAAAAATCTACTACATATTTAATGATAGTCTTAAAATACACGTGAAAGTGTCATGTAATACTCCAAGACTACTAAACAATCTTTCTCAACTGAGGTACTACTTCATGCACACCCAAAACCCTTATGAATATGCACAAATGCATTATGCATATGGATTATATACTCATGTGGATGTGCATGTATGAAATGAAGGTGACAGGGTTATTGGTGTACCCATAATGGCGACAGATTCTTCAATGCTCATCCCTGTCTTGGAAAAATTTCTAAGCATGTGATCAACTCCTATATTTAGAGTAGGTAGCACAGCATCTGCAAGTGTGTAGTTTGGTGACATGGAATCCCTTCTGCCCAATGGAACCTGTATCCAAGGCCCTCCCGCGATCGCCACCGCTTCTCGTGCCGCCAAAATCAGAATGTCAGCACAGGAAACTTGCTGGGGACACACTGCTTCCACCATGGATTTTATTACGCTGATTGACTCTCTGTTTCGGATGCCGAAATTCTTGGGTGAAGCAATCTCTGATTTTATAGTGAAATTAGTTGAATCTAGAAGGATTGATGCATCACAGCCCTGGGATTGATTAGATAAAAACATAGTTAAAATCAGTTGAACCAACTGAATCAAAGAAAGCATGATGACAATACTAGTACTTTGTAGCAGTAGTTAGCTTTTTGGAAGAAGTTAAGGTGTTTTTTAAAAGCAAAGTCAAATAACAATTTTGAATGGTTTCAATCACAAAATACTAAAGAGAAACAAAACAAACACACAGGGGACAAAATATACGGTTTGCGTTCTCCAGTCCATCTTGTGTCTCTTAATACTAAGACAGCAAGATTCCCTTGTTCTATACGATGAAGAACATCAGTTGGAACTTGTTCTCCTGGGATGGCTTTGACTCCTCAATTATGGTGTTATTTTGTCGAATCAGGGTTTTGAGATCGATAGAAGGAACTCTTCAACAGCTCAAGAGAGCACTGGTTGAATGAGTCAAAACGATTTGACCGGAGTGCACGACATGCAAGAATCACATAGAGGAAGAGAATAAATTTATTATGCACATTAACGTCTGGTTTGAAAATAAATTATTTTAATAATTTTTTGATCTTTTATAAATAAATAAAAAAAATATGTAAAAGAATAATGTGATAATTTATAGTAATTTTTTAACATTTTAACTAAAATATTTAATTTCTAAACAGAATCTAAAGATTATAAAATTTAAAAGCTCTAAAATTCAACCGCTCTAAAACTCGACCACTCTAAAGTACTATCACTCTCACACACTGAAAGTCTAACCGAAAAATACAACAAATACTTTCAGAACTTCGAATTCCGGGCCGAGGCAACGCCCTTACACTAAATATGAAATAATTATTCAATAGTTTCGGAATATGATTACGTAATACTTTATGATAGTATAATTGATAGAGAATGTGAAGTATTTATTATTTATGTTAAGTAATTGAAGAACATAAAGGGGGTATAATGATAATGGTGATTGGTGAAAAAATATGACCATATAATACTCCAAGACTATAGTATAATTTTCCCTAAATATGAATGTATAGTAACAAATAGTTTGAAATAGTCTGCAATATTGCAAATGGTTGAGGATTTCACTTTTAAGGTGAGAAGGTGATTATGTACTCAGAAAATGTACTTTAAAAAAGAGTTTAAAACTGAAATGTTTGGATAAAATTAATTTTGAGTGTAACCCACGCTACATTAAAAGTTTAAATCTATACAATATATTTAATTTAGACATTTTTGTGAATTCATAGCATTTCTGGCATGAACCACACAACTTGAGCTTGTAGTTCAACCATTAACTGTGGTTTTGCCCTGAAACCCCAGATGTGTGTGTGTGAGAGAGAGAGAGAGACAGAGACAGAGAGAGAGACCTGAACTTGGCAATCATGGAACATGAGCCTCAACAAAGCTGCAGGAGAAGTGGGATCAGAGAGATAGAGGGATTGAAGGCCAGCTCTAACAATGCCCTCAACCTGTGGACATGTTCTCTCATAGAAATCATAAGAAAGCCACCCTCCTCCTTCAACCTTAAACCACAATGACAACACTAAGATGATTACTCCAAATATGCTTCTCAAACCCATATTTCTTTCCTCACTAAATCATGAATAAACTTTGTAGTTTGTACTCTCATGACTTCAGAAAGTAGATGAACCTATTTAAATGCATAGAACCACCACTGTAGCCCTAAACAACTCTTAGCTAATTAATGGTTTGTTTGGATCCTGCCTCTGGGGGGGGGGTGTTTGGATAAGCTCTATTCATACCCTCCATATCTATCAATTTTTTCCTTAATGATCATTAATGTGAGTTCGAATTTGAGTCTACACGAGAATATAAATGAATATGAAGAGATACATGTACGAGGAAGTTTAATCCCTTATTCAAAACTAGTGTAATAAACATGCTTTGGTCCACCTATTTGACTTGGGATTTGCTTATCATTAAGATAGGATTAGACAGTATGGAAGCTTTAATGTCTTTTAAAACTTCACAGAATTTCTCAATTTGTTCAAGGAATAGTCTACCATGTGAAAGCCAACAAATATTCTAGCCTCTCACAATATATATAGGTAAGTTTTATTAGTGCTGGTTAATTAACACTAACAAGGTCTATTTTTTTAAGAAGGTGATCTAACAGATTTGTTTAAGATAATAATAAAAATCAATAAGTGGCAATAATATTCTTGAAATTACAAGTGTTTTAATTGAAAATAAAATGTGAATAAAAGTTGCATCATTTTATATGTAAATTTTATTTTTATATCAATATATTTTTATATACTTTATTTTATTTTTATTACTTTACTTATAAGGGTTGTTTTCCGCTTTCTATTTTTTGTATTTATTTTTCTAAAAGTATTGTACTGTATTTAAAAAATAAATTATGTTTGTGTACTTAACAACAAATGGAATACAGAAGAAATAAAGAAAATAAGAGAGATTGTTTGATTACAAAAATCAAATCAAAATATAAAATACATAAATAAAAATAGATTTTTATTTTGTTACAAAAAACAAAATCAAAATCTAGAACAGAAAAATAATAAAATAAAAAATAAATTAATTACTTACCAAATTAATTTCTTGAACAAATTTTTAATCAAGTCCAGTGTTTAACACTGTGTCCTTAAGACAGATGCGTCTTTTCCACAGTGCTTTCAGATTATGAACATCTATCTCCCAAGATAAAATGATCAACTACGAATAATTGCAGCACTACAAATTATTCGCACAACGAACACATTTTGTGTTTACATTCTTTCTCACAAGAAAACAATGCTGCAAAATGCAGAGAGAGCAAACAGGGACGAAAATTGGAGTGAAAAAACCAAATGAGGAACTGCCTATTTATAGAGGAAAATGGTGGCTGTTTGGTTTGAATTAAAAAGGTACAAAACTTGTTGAGTTTAAATTAAACAGATACAAATCTGCTTAAATAGGTAAGACACTATTTGGTTTGAATTTTAAATAGATATTGAATCTATTCGGTTTAATTTCAAATCGATTGGAACCTATTCGGGTGGAGGGAAAAAATGACAGATTTTCAGAATTTAAATTCGAATTCTGGACAGATTTTATTTTACCAAAAATAAAATTAAATTCAAATATTTTTTGCCCAAAAAAATAGGTATTGGGCCGGAAAAGCACAATCTTAGCCCGATTGGATGGCGGCGACATGCGCATGTGTTTAGTTTTTGGTCCAATAAGTCTAGCCCAATTTGTCCATAACCTCTCCCTTCTACAAACTTGGAGCCCTCTCCAACTTACAATCTCAAGCTTTATAAATCCATAAAATTCTTTTTACCAAACTAACGTGGGACAAGCTTTTATTCAAACTTTAAGGAATTTCTACTAAAAACTCCATTTTTATGGAATTCACTTTGGCTTCAATTTCTCATTCACCCGATAATGGTTTTGAGCAATCAAATATGCTACGTAAATCACAACGCGGCATAGAACGCGTTACTACTTTGATTCGCCAACTTTAACACATGGGCCCCACCTAAAAATTAGACCAAAATTGAGAAAAAAATTCTAATTTTCCAAACCTTCCAAACCCATTTCTAACAAAAAAAAAAAAAAAAAAAAAAACAATTTTTTTTTTAATTCTACTGTGTTAATGTACTTTCAAATTTCAATCATCGAGCAATCCAATTACCTCTTGGCAATAAACATTGAATAATGTTATAAATGTTATACAAACTTAAAAATCATTTAAAATTTTCAATAATTTATTGAGGTGGTTTCAATTTTTTAAGGATTTGGTGATAGCCCCCTCACTATCTAATTTGTCTTTCAAAAGGACAAGAATTATATAAGTACTTTCAAAATTCCCTGATATTTTAAAACTTATTTCTTTTACTATACTACCCTCATATCTATCAGCTCTCCTATTAAGCCATCTTCACTATGTATTTCAGAGTAAAATTTTACTCTGTATAAAAGTAAAATTTTACTCTGAAACTAAAGTAAAATTTTACTCTGAAAAACAAGTAAACTGTGAGACTCTGAAGCTAAAAGTAAAATTTTACTCTGTATAAAAGTAAAATTTTACTCTGATTTTGTCAAATGAAAAAAACAGAGCAATAGAACTAAAGGAAAATTTTACTCTGGTTCTATCAAATGAAATTAGATCATTCACAGCCACTGTTCTTCTGTTTCTTCATAGTTACTTATCTCTTTCGTATCACCTCTTTGGCTTCTCTGTTATCTATTACATATACACAATCCATATTACTCACGACACAAAAATTTATCAAAATCAAAAACAATTTTACAACAAAAAGTTGAGAGAACATAGTAACAACTCATCAATAGATCAATTTAAGAACTTAACAACACTATCCAAATGAAAAATTTCTTCCTCACACACACACACACACAAACACACACATATATATATGAAAAATCTAAAGAACTGTGTTCAAATATGAAAATTTTGAACAGTCGCGCGATTCGTCTCTATACTCTTTCACAATTCAAATTTTTGATCGACGAGGCTATCATCAACGGCAAGAACATGAACTTCATGAGAATTGGAAGGCGATACGTCGACGTCGTCGAAGCTTTCTCTGATCATCTCCGACGATCTCTTCCACTGCGAAACCTATGCGCCATTCAAAGAAAATTCTCTGCAACTGAAGGTGATTTAGGTATATTCACAGTTTTGGTTGAAATCACGAGAGCTTCGAACGAATCCAATCCAAACCCTAGGAATGAAAGAGAGAAGGAAAAAAGAGTGGAGAAGGTGAGGAAATTTAGTTGAGGGTATAATAGTCTAATAAAATATTTAAATAATAAATTTTGTCCTTTATGCAAAATTTTATAATTATGAGGAGATTTAGAAAATATAATTTTTTTCTTAATCCTTTTAACAATAAAAGAAAGGTAAAAGGGGTTTATAGCTAAATCTCCCTTTTTTTTTTTCTTAACTCAGTATTACGTATATCGGAGAGAACAACAACAGTAAATTTATAGCACTGGCAAGTTTAGCAACTATGGCTGTGGATATATATATATATATATAGAGAGAGAGAGAGAGAGAGAGAGAGAGAGAGGGAGTACAATAATAAATTCCAAGTCCAAGAAAATTGCCATCACTCGATGCTACCGATAACAATGATGCAAGTGCAATCGCAGTAGTGAAGGAGACTAACAGGCTTCTTTTCTCAAGTGCATGACAAGTCTACACTCCATAACTGCTTTTACACTTGTATAGTTATTACACACTTTTTGTTTTTTCTTTTTTGATTTAAAATTAAAAAGTAAAAGTGCATGAAGTAGTTCCTATTTAGGATTTATAAAGTAAAAAGAATTATGTCTCAGAAAAAAAAAAAGTAAAAAGAATTTAAAAAATAAATTATTGAGAAACGATGAGAGATGTAATTTCATTTTTTAATTATTATTAATTTTTAACTTATAAGAATATCTCCAACGCTTTCATAGATTTGGAATCAAATTTAAATTTGATAAAACACATTTACGTTTTTTTTTTTCTCTAACCATGACATCAAACCTATATCAAATAATGGACAAAGTAAAAGTTTTATCAAATTGAGAAAAATTTCAACGTTCATCAAATTTTTGAAAAGAGCTGTTGCGTTTCACCGTACACCGGACAACCAATTACTTGCAAAGTTGTCTATTGCTGGTTGTCCTCCTGGCTGTCCGGCAAATTGTCCCCCCAGTTAACTGATTGTTTGATGAAACTTCAAAAATTAACGTTGGAACGCATAGTATCAGATGAAACTTTTCATCAAATCTTTATTCAAATTTGATGAAAAATTAGAGTAAGCGTTAAAGATACTCTAAGAAACTACATTAAACAGACTAATCTATTTTAAATTATTCAAAACATTATTATTATTCTTAATATAAATGGACACGGGGCCCCTGCCGTGTAAAGTCCCTGCCGTGCCTGCTGTGTGCCGAAAACGGCACCGTTTTGTCACATTTTTTTTTTTTTTTTTTTTTTTTTAGCAAATTTTTTTAAAAATTATGTCAAAATTTATACTTTTTCCATTCATCTTGTATAAACGAATTTGAAGGTTTTAAAAAAACTTTAAAAAGGTTAAAATAAATTTAAAAAATTTACTATTTTTTTACTTACTTTTATATTTTCTGAATTCTTAAACAAATTTTAAAATATTCGATTTGTCTGGTGAATCTAAAAACTTTAAAATTTTTAAAAGATTAAAAGCAAAAAAAAAAAACCAAAATAATAGTAACCCACTTTGCAATTTCCCCGCAAAAACTCCGACGCCACTTGGCCACGTCAAAAAAGTTGGTGAAAAAACACTTGTTGGAAAGCCAAATTTATTGACGGCCTTCCTACACTTTTTGCCGAACGCGTTAGGAAAAAACTTTGGGACCGCCATGACCGGATGTCTATTCCTTATGAACAGTATACCTATGGACAACTTTGTTCCATTATAACCGATGAAGGTCTTTCCTTATGCAATGACCTTAAACTTCATTACCAAATGAAACAACAGAATCTTACAGGCAGAAAAGAGTTAGGCGAATTTTGTGAGCAATTTGCCTATGAACCTGTCATTAAATATCCAGGAAAAACCCGCAAGATTTCTCATAAAAAATCTTCCAAACCTTTCCGAAAGAAGTCACATAAAACTAACCATCCGCAAACCACTAAGAAGTTTTATCCAAAAAAATCAACCAGTAAAAGCAAAGGTAAAAATAAATCAGAAGTTAAGT